CGGGACTAGTAAAAGCGCTATACAAATACAGGCCATTTACCATTTTATTTGAGTAAAGAAATCGAATCAGTAATTTTACCAGAGTATTTTTAACACCAGTATCTGTACCTCTACTAAAGTAAACAATGTGTATTTTTGCCACCTCTGCTCAATAAAATTGACATATACTGATTTTGTAAAAAATCACCATGTTGCGCAGTGTTTAAAACAGTGGGCCAGATGGAAATTGCGATTCTGCCTAAGTATGTGGCTAGAGACTGGCCACGTATGTAATTCAGTTTTGCACCTTGAGTGTCAAGATATTAAGGATTATAACTACTGTATGTTTTATCATCTCAGAAGAAGAAGCCATGGAAGAAGTAAGAATGTGAAAGAAACTAATAGCGAGTTAATACAACTACGGATGAACTGTGGTCCTCTTCCTCACCTTAAAGCTCAGCTTCTGAACTGCAATCAGGGCTCTAACACATGAAAACATGAATAAACATGTTTATTTATTCCCGTTATTGTCACCAATGTGAGAGTGTATAACAGCTAATGTTAAACTTGAGTGTCCTAGGTATCACACTTTTCATCTGATGAAAAATTTAATTATGTTCTGACATCTTATGATTTTTTTTTCATTTACTTTATTTTCTTTGCATGGTAAAGTTTGAACTTTGGAAATGATGAATGGTGTTCACTAACAGCTCTTGAGCCATGCAGTGATTTCTATTATCATGTTAGGTTGTATTAAAAGTGGACAGCTCAGTTTTACACCAGGCATAAAAGCTTAGAAACACTATCACTTTACACATTGCTAAAATTAGTGTGTGAATGTATGTTCTTCATTACAGGCTTTAATCCACGGTGGGACTGCACCTTTAACTTTACCGTCCATGTCCCTGACTTGGCTCTGGTCCGCTTTTTGGTGGAGGATCATGACTATACTTCCAGAAATGACTTCCTGGGACAATTCACTCTCCCTTTCCCCAGTGTCCGCACAGGTATGTGTGGCAGCGAATGGGTTAATATGTGTGTGTGTGGGTGTGTGTGTGTGTCGTCAACATCAACACAATATGAATAGCCACATATTCTACTTATCTTAAACCCCCTTAACTCTGCAGGTTATCGTCATGTCCGACTGCTCAAGATGGATGGATCAAGCCTTTCACCTGCGTCACTCTTTATACATATTAAGGTCACTTCCTGTCAGAACTCCAAAACTTCAGCAAAATCACCAACCCACTTTCCAACCAAGAATCCCTAATCCCACGTCTGCCCTTCAGCCACATGATCATTCCATGGTAGTTAATCAGAGAAAACTCAGTGGTTACAGCTTTCTCTCACAGATGTAGCACCGGTATCATCAACTGATTCATTTTTTTACACAACAGTATTGTTTCAAAACTGTATTTGAGATTTGTTAAGACAACATTGTTATGCAATGCTAAAAGCCAATTAGGTAATACTGTGCATACCAGTGACTTATGATACACCTAAGATTTCAGAGCAGTGAATTTAAGTGTCTGTTTTACGTGAATTATTGTAATAATGTCTCATTTGTAGAAAGCTTCCCAAGTACTTTAAACTCTTAGAGTAGGGTCGGAGTCAGAGCTGAGAACTAATAGAGTACAAGTACTTTGTATTACATACATGTTGTTGTAGTTAAGTTGAATTTTTAGCTCTGTTTTAGATCTGTTTATCTGTACGTTACTTGAGTATTTATTTTTCTGACAACTTTTACTTTTACTCCCTACATCTTAACCAAATATTTCTGTATATCAATATACATATTTTATACTCCTTACATTTTCAAATGTTTGTTACTTTAAATTTAAGACTCTTGAGAAGAGTTATTTCTTGACATTTCACACTTTTAAACATCAAAGTCACAGATAACTGTTAGTGTATCCATCACAGGTTCTTATAGCGTGTGATGAATTAAACAAAGGGAAATCTAGCTAGTGCTACAGAAGAGGATCAAGCATAAAAGAAGTAACATTAGTGGCAGGCAATTGGAAGTACAAAGTTTCAAACAGCTTAATGCATACATATTGCCAAAAGTATTCA